AAAAAAAGTTTATATATAAAAAATTTATCACGTGATCAGGACGTAAATTTATTGGCGGGTAAGTTTATCACGCGGCTGAGAACTTCTAGAGCGAAAATAAATTCCTCCCTTTTAAAAGTCAACCAATCAAATGTCACGATTTTATATATAAACTTTTTTTACTAATAAACAATAAACCCTGGGTCCCCGGGTCGATTTTAAATTTCAATGTTACGTGAACCGAAAAATTGAATTTGTGTGGCCTTATCTGTTAAACATCCAAATTATAACAATTATTCCCCACATTTACTACATCGTTCAAATGCATACTTTTTATACTCTAAAACCATAATATAATCTTTTATATATGTATCTTGAGATGTTCCATATATTTTAGGAATTCTAATAAGAATCTCAATCGAATAATTTTCTCTAATCTGTTGATAAACAATATGAATTAATATAACGTAATATTTATAAGAGTGTTGAAATTAAAAATTCACAATGAAATTTTATACCTTATTGAAAAATTCAGTAAGATTTTGACAATTATATAAATATTTTAACTCAACATTTTTTATCTGACTCGCTTATCCATTTCTTATTAGAATTTATTTTTAATTGTATCTCTAGAATAAAAACAGCAATTCCTTTATTACAATTTGTCCTAATAAAAATGATTCATCTGACATGGCTTGTACATTCATAATTCAAGCATGATGCAGTTTAATTCTTGAAAGATTTCTTATTCCAGGAAAATAAAGAAAGGAATAATTAATATGATAATGATTATGATAATAGAATAATTTTTTCAAGGAATAAATTTGCTTTCCAAACATTTTGATAATTTCATGTATGACTAAATAATTTCTATCTTCTAAGCTTAATTGAATTATGGAGTGATTTATCCTTGAAAGCATTATCAAATATTCTACTAATATCACGAACTGAAAGTACTCTGCAAAATGCTGCATAATTAAACAGAGGTTTTTTTGCTGTAGGTTTGAAATAAAAATTCCATTCTTCTGTAAGAGCTCTTTTGATTCATTTGGAAGACAAGCATATAAGGTAGTAAGAATTGATGAGTCTATCTTAAATGGATTTTGTTGATAAGAACTTTTATTAAAATTCCAAATATTTCTCCATAAAATTCTAACAGAAATTCCACACCAAAGGCGATTAGTTAGCAAATATGAATGCAAAGTAAGAGTATCTTCCTCTAAGCATTAAAAAATCTCATTTAAACAGTCAGATGGAAGTTGACAAGTCATTTTATTATAATTTCAAAAAAAAAAAAAAAAAAAAAAAAAAAAAAGATTGATGTTAAACCTTTTTTAAAATATAAAGAAATATAAATACAAATGTAGTGTAATATTAATTTTTTTGTCGATCGGTACAATTATAGTGCGAGCTGAAATTACGTTTTCAAAATGGTTGAATTTGATGTCAATCGCATAAGGTGTTGGCCCATAAACGTAAATACGTAATGTATGTAATGTAGTTAATCGATTAACATAATAAGATTTTTAGATAAACATTGATCTTGCCTTATTTTATATACATTGTTTCTTGTCACCACCTTACGTGGTTATCGCTAATATAAACAAGAATCATCACATGATCTGAATTATTTTATTATATGTCGCACAAATCGCACAAATGTATAATCAGAAAATTTTTTCTTCCAGGTGATGTTCAATCATTACAATCAAGGTCACGATTGACCTTTGAACAAACTCTCTTCACTTTCTTCATTTTATAATTCATCATTGTGTCTTCAAAAAATCAAAAAAGAGACTATTCAACGAATAAAAGAAACATTTCCAACAATAATTCAAAATATTCCCATTTCTCCCTTTGCAGATTATACAAACTTTCATATGTTGTTTAAGCAACAGTATCCTGTCACACAATTCTTTGTGAGTTCTATGAAGTATGAAATCTTTAATCATGATTCATGAATAAAGATAATGCAAGATTAAAATAAACAAAATTTTCATAAAAAAATTTAATAATTAAATTTTTTTGTATATATGATAAAATAAAGATTTTTTCTAAAGTATTGCCCTTCTATCAATAATTTAATATGAACAAGAAAATTTATCACTTCAACAAACGGCTCCAGAATCTATGCTAAAATGTAAGATGATAAGTATTAGTTATTCTTGTTTGAGTTTCCTAACATTTCTATATGCTATGATAGTTTTTAGAAAATACAATGAGCTGTTGGTTGATTTCATCGATTTTTGCACTTCACTGAAATGAAAAATCTCTGTTAAACGTAACTCTATAGCAATCTTCATAGGTACTATTTGCATAATGAAATATAGTAGCTTATTGATTATATATTTAAAAAAATATATATATATTTCTTTCAAATCTTTCTTGTAATTTATAAATTCTCCAATCATTTTCTTTCAGCTGATCTTTCGATTTAAAATTGAAGTTGTATAAATTTGTCAAAAATTCTTCAATCTTTGAATAATCTTCGTTCAAAGCAAATGGTAATATTAATTTACTTTATAAATAGAATATTCTTTTTTGAATAAATTAATTAAATTATAACAATTAGGATTCATTATAACTAAATAATAATTTATGACTGAATTAATCTCGTTTAATCATATAATAAAGTTTTTATTTAGGATTCAAACTTCAAATGACATCTCTCAAGATTGACGATTCTATTTGGGACCTCTTGAAAAAAACAATTTTATGAAATATGTCTTTTATGCCTTATTTACTGTAACGATTGATACTTAATACCATTATTTTTAGTAACTTTATAATCATCTGTGTTTACTGCGCCACATTCTATTTACACTCTGTAGTAACCAAAATTATATCAAACACACAAAAATAAATTCCTAATCACAAAGGATTTCCACTAAAACAACCTTTCTTGAGAGAAAATCTTGTTTTAGGGTCTAAAGATCTTGATTCTAAACTGAACTCTTCTAAAAAAAACTATTCTTCCTCCCACATCCATTTGGAGAAATATTTATAATGAAAAAAAATTCAAAGGACAACTTGTTTATAGCTAAATTGACTTTAGACAACTTACACACTTCGTCCAAGTGACAATTTGTCAAAGGTCACTTTGTGATAAGTTGACCAAAGCAAATTTGATTACATAATCATGATTGTCCCTTGGCTAACGCTCTAAAAATAATTCTAACCTAATATATCTAATAAAAAATCAATAAAAACAATATACTAATACAATAAAACATTATATAAAAAAATAATTAATACAAAAATATAATAAAAATACAATAAAATACTAAATAGTAAAAAAAATTCATATAAATTATGATTGATCATTTCACTAATCACTAATAATATATTAGTGCGCGATGATCATTCAGTAATCAAAATTTCGCAACAGTAATATTATCATCCTGGTTATTACCATTGATCACCCGTTATATCATATGATTTCATCACCTAATTTTTCTATCATAACTATATTGATTTATATGAAAAATCAAGTAAAATTGAATAATCTAAAACTTAGTTTTCTAAAGCTACAAAATTTAAATATATTTCAAATCATCAAAATGTATATATAATGCTTACAATGTAATAATCTGTAACTTCAAATTTCTTGATAATACCTAAATCAATATATTTTTCAATGATTTCCAAATTCTTATCATTTTTGTTTAAGCTTGACACAATACAAAAATCAATAGTAATAATCAATGAAATTGACTTTTGTGATATATGATTTGACCAACTTATAAAAAGAAATCTAATTCTTCCAGAAATATTTTAAATTGTACATTATAGTGATAATATAATATTACTTAATGTATTTTTTTTGAATATTCCAAAATTACTTCCAATGCATCTTTCTCATTTAAAATAAACCACCACATCAAACTTTAATACTTTTTAAATTCTGACAACTTTCAATAATTATTTTTAATATTTCCAATTCATTTAGAGGTGTTGGTACACATTGTTCATAGTAGTGTATCATTAGTTTACTTTTAATTCTAGTAGAAAGCTTATTAAGAATTGGACAATATCTGGCAATTGATAATTTAATGAATTATTATTATAAATCATACTATAATCACAAAAATCAGACTTTTTCCATTATTTTCCCAATTAGAAAGTTCATATTTAAATTTTAAACTTGTAACTTTGGGAAAATAATGTATTGTAAAATTTCAAAATCTTTAAACTATTCTTTAACTTCAAATGACAGTTGTAGTTCTTGTAATTTTGTTAACCTAATGATAAATGATAATGAAATATCATCATCACCTCCATAAAGTTTTAATTTAGTCAATGTATTGGGAACTCTTGTCATTAATAAAGATATTAAATCTGTCAGAACATAATATATTGATAAATTAAGACATGTTGAACAGAAATTAAATCTATCAATCCATCTGGAAGACAATCTACAACTGTTATATCTAATAATGAAATATTATTACAGATTTGAGATAATTGATGAAAAAATCAGAGGAAGTATCTGAACTACAATATAATTCTGAAAGATTTTTTAAACAATTCCTTGCTCCAGGGTAGGAAGTAAAACCAATTTCTTGATAGTGTGGATAATCTAAAACCTTTAATGAATCTGAAAAAAAATTAAATCTATCAATCCATCTGGAAGACAATCTACAACTGTTATGCCTAATAGGAGGATTATGAGGATATTGTGAACTAGTTTTACTACGAAGCAAGGCTACCATTCCCTCAGCCCTATGATGAGCTGAATTTCTCTCATGACGCAACCTATTACAATCCTCTCTTAAAGCTGATATTTGGTGACGAAATGCAAGATGTTCATTTGTTCTTTCATTTCTGAGTTATTGAATGAACTCATCCCTTTCTTGAACTTCATTCAACAAAATTTCGTTCTCTGCAACCAGTTGATAATGCTCAGAATTGGTAAGAGGAGGAGGAGGAATAATGAAAAATAATTACAGATTTGAGATAATTGATAAAAAATCAGAGGAAGTATCTGAACTACAATAATAAAATTCTGAGGGATTTTTTAAACAGTCCCTTGCTCCAGGGTAGGAAATTAAAACTTTTAATGATTCTATATATTTTCCACCACATCTTTCACACAAAGACCATAATGCAATCTTTAGTATCAGGATTTTGAGAAATTCCATAAAACTTGAGAGTAAATTTTCTTAAACCATGTAATTAGTTTACATTTTACATTAAAACATTCAAGTTATTTTTTAAATGTTTACGCATTATTTCAAACCAATTTTTATCTGATTTTCTCATCCGGTCCTCCTTATTAAGGTCACAATATATTGGTCCGTCCTTCCATATTGCAAATATACTGAAGTTTTTATTTCTTCAATAATATTAAACTGGTTGGCATGGTATCCACTCAACAACTATATCAAACAAGTCATAAATGCTTAATTGTTTTTCTTAAATAAAATCGTCAATCATTTTATTTCCACTGGTCCAATTTGTATTTACTTTAAAAAATTTGTTTGATATGGAATATACCATTCATATTTTGCGTACGAGCGTTCTGCATACTTTTCATCACATTTTTTACATCGTAGTTTATAATTTTCGCCATTCATATATTGAAAAACCATAATGTAATTGTGTGTATCTGGATTTTTGGATATTCCATAAAATTTATAAGATTCTTTTTTTGAATATATTAAATATTCATCTACCTGTTAAAGCATATAGAAAAAAAATTAATTGTGTAAAGAACGATAATATTTTTAAATTCATCACAATATTTTCTCTAATCTATTAAAATAAAAAATAATATTTTAATTAATAAAATTTTTTTTTAAAAAAAAAATTTTAAAAATATCGTACCTCATTTAAAAATTCATTAATGATATTTGGTTTATCATAAAAACATTTTAAAGCAATTGTTTCAAACGAATCAATATCATGATATTGTAATGAACCATCCTTCCTTTTTGAATAATATAATGCAGCAAAACTACCTTTGTTTTTTTCCTTAATATTAATGAATTGATTGTATGGTATCCATTCAAAAATTATATCATCATAATTATTAAGCTTCATTACCGCTTGTCCAGTTCATAAAATTTCTTTTTAAAGAATTTATTTGACAATGTTTACACCATTCTTTTGCTGCACTTGAACGATCTATATAATTTTTAGCACATTTTTCACATCGTCCTGCTGGATTTATCAATGGAGACATAGTATATTATTTCGAAAGATTCTTTTAATTAGAATAATAAGAATAATTAATAATTAGAATAATTTCGGTTTAAAATTAAAGACGATCAAACAATTTGAGAATCAACAAGGAGTTACCGCAGTAATGTTTAACCAAAAGAAATTAATGCCTTGTCGATCATCCCCTTACATTCGCGTTATCGAAATTTTTTTGGAATACAATAAGACTTGGTTTTCCGTCTAGTAGACAAAGAACTTGACAAGTAAAAAAATTGTTCTTTTATTCTGTCATGTCAATAACAGTTGTGAAAATATTATAATCTACATGTTTAATTGGTTATAGATGAAAATATTTATACAAAATATTATAAAAATCAGTTATAAATACAAGTAATTAATTAAGATATAAGAGGGATTATTATTATATAATTTATTAAGTAGTTACATTGAAATACTGTATTAAATAGTCAACTTTTTTATTTCTTTGTTTAAACAAAAAATTCTTATTTTTATTGTTAGTATCGACAATTTTATTTTATTTTTTTTTTTTCACCATTTGGGTGGATAATAAATAGATCATGTTTAAAAGGAAATTACCTGCATTGTGGCTTGTGGGCTTAGATAATTTATGTGACGGAACCGGCTGCGGCTGGAGACCTGCACCGGGCTGGGTTCGTGTAACCCAGTCTGGTATCGTAAATCAGTTAAGCCGCAGAGCTGCGGCAAGTTCTAGAACTTTTTTCAATTTATGAACAAAAAGCGTAAGCACCTGATATGTTGTAAGAATTTCGTAAAAGTTTAACCCAAATTTAGCGATCAAGATAACTTCAATAAAGTATATAAACACGTAAAATTCTCACATACGAAAAATTATTTTAATAAAATCAAAATAAACAAACGGAAAACATGCCTTCAACTTCAAATAATAACCCTTCATCTCGAACTCAACCTAAAGATAACGTTTATAGTGGCGTCAATAATAAGGGAAATATATGGTATCATCGTGGAGATTCAGTAGCACCCGGTGGTTCCTATTACTACGCTAACAAGGATAATTCTTACTATTATCAAAATTCAAATGGATCAAAATATTATAATAATGGAAAAGGTTATTCTTATTACAAAAGATATTAAGCTCAGTATCGAATTTTTCTTCTCTTTCGATAATGATATTTTTTTACCGTTTTTCTTTTGATGTCTCTTTTTCTGTTATTTTTTGTTTTTCTCTTGATATTTACGTATACAAGTGAGCTATAGTACCCGGGTATCATACAAATTTTTCTGGGGTAATATACTACGAGGGATGCTTAGAATTAGGTACAAGATTATTAGGTATAAAGGTCATTTTTCAATTCAAGATCATTTCACATAAATATTTTACTTTCCCCGGAATTGTTATTTCATTAAATATACATCAACCTAATAAAGTATCATGTGTAATACCAAAAGTCAATTATTGACTATTTATTATAATGTATCGGCGTTTATGGAAACTTTGTGCTTACGGTTTCTCTGCCCATCACGTGATTGTCGGCTAATATTTTGGGTCGACGCCAACATTTGTTGCATTAACTCAATATATTATCATTACATATTTCAATAATAAGATCTGCATCACGAAAATATATATCGTATATTTTTGCCCTTGAAAACTTCTGGAGCAACGTAAGGTATTCCATAAACGGATAAACCTTTCAATCGATAACCTTTCAATTGCAGATTTTAATAAGATGGATTATTATCATAATTACGAAAAATCTAATAAAAAATTTTGCGTTTAAGAAACTTCATTTGTGTTTTAGACTTATATGTCCCTTTATTGTTTTGGAATTTCTATTCCGACACATAAAAGAAAAGTAAGAACCAAGCAAAATATTTTAATATAATTTTATTTATCTGTATTGTGGTCAATAAATGAATATATCACGATTCAGGTGATATTTATTTTACGCCATTCAACATGTATTAATAATTTCCAATGCTTAATGAAGCTCAATAGAATTATTTTGGAATTTAAAGTGTAGTTTAAAGTATGACAAATGCTTCGTCACGGATTTGATAATTAATCCATTTATAAGCACAAATTTTGCATCTATAATTAACTAAATTGTCTAATTGATTAGTACTCATGTCGTTACCTATTTTTTCTTTCTAGACTTCTAATATTCTAATAACATCATTACCTAAAAATTTCCTGATTTTAAAATAAGATCAATATAGACGAAAGAACTGAATATGTAATTAAAATAATTTGAGAAAATCTTCGTAAAAGTTCTAAAATGATTTTTTTATATACAGTTATGTTTATTAAAATACTATTCATAATGAATCAGAATAAACAAATCCTAATTAATACATATTTGAGTACAAGGTGGAATTAAGGTATGTCGATCATTTCAAGTTTAAAAGGGGCTGAAAAGTTTTTGGTAATGAAAATCTTTATTCTGCATTTAAATTAGATATTTTCTACCTTTGTATTTAATAATTTATATTATAGTATGTTAAAATATAATGCAGTTTAATAGTTTAATAGGAAGGTGCTTGATATTTAGCTATAATTTAATTTTAAGAATTTCGACAAAATGGTAGTTTTTCTTGGTTAAATAATAAATATATATAATGAAAAGTAACAACCAACTTATTGATTTGCATCCTCCATGACTAAATCGTCTGACATAGGCATATCATCGTCCATATTGTCGATATTGTTATCGTTCTATGTTAGTCAGTCACAGATTATATGTTAATTATTCAAATAAATTATATTTTGTATTTGATTTATTATTTAACTGACATATTTGTTGAAGTTTGGATTTAGTTTGAACCTTTATATAGTATTTCTTTTAAAAAAAATCATACTGGATACTCGTCAAAATTCAAATTTATCTTCAACATTCCTTGAATATGTGATTAATTTGGTTTATTATTATTACTAATGTTAACCAAAATTTTATTTGTATATCATATAGATAATGCTATGGCATATAAATTATGCCCAAATTAGGTCAAGAGATCGAAGATTTTAAATATAGTAACAAATTGGCGCCATTTGGAAACGAAAAAGTTCATTAAAGTTTACTGGCTTGGAATTAAAGATGAGGTTAGTGAATATATATACATATATACGTTTATTATACTTGGAGATCTTTTACTTTAATTTTATAAATTTCGTTTAAAAGATAACCACTAGGAAGCCATTGATTTTCGCCTTCCAAAGAATTCAATTGTTAACGACATCACCATCACCAAATTCTAGAATTAGGTTCATCAGGATAGGATTTAAAAGGACTATTTGGGGACCGAACCAGTAGAGAGAATACAAGAAGAACATGCAACATTATACGCAGAGGTGAATATCATGAATTGATTAAATTTTTTTATTTTACCATAAATATACATGTATTTATTTTAGGAAATACCTCAAGATGAAATTCATGTCGATCAAAATAACCGAGCGAGCTATTCAAGTATATCATTTCACAAAGGATCAGATGGAATCTTGTTCAAATTTGTTATTAAAAACGTAATTTTATTTATTAATTAATAATATAAATTTCAAAGAATCCAAATTTTGATTTCTTATTGGCTTAGAGCGAGACTCTCGCGAATACTAAAGTATGTCTTCGACATCGCCTTGGTATGAGTGAAAAAGATTTTTCGAAAGTAAAAATTGCAATTGTATCTGAAACTTCATACGCAAACCCGGAGTATCTTGATGACGATGGTGAGTTAAACAAGAACATTTTATTAAATCGTTTATTTTAATTTATTAATCATATATAATTTTATAATTTTATCAGAAATGACATTATCTAATGAAGGTTGTCTAGGACTTGATCACGTAGATAAATCTGGCTGCGCGGAGAGTGTTTTCATTCGAGGCTAATATATTAGTCTTTTTTTTATACGCAACAATCTCTTGTAACTGAGAGCATCTTTATTTTTATTAATTTAATATACAGTTGTACTATTAAAAATTCTATGACATATATGACATTACGCCGTATAAAATCCACTCTTTAACATCTTGTTACGCGTCTACCCACAATGTAATGTAATTCGCCTCATCCTATGATACATAAACATATCAGATATTGTATTTTTAACAAAAAGAAAAGATAGTTGATTATGAAATTTTTAACATTATTCCTTGTGAATTATAATTTATAAAATTTCTTTAACTCGTCCTATCCTTACAGAAAAATGGTGTCCGGTATGATAAATTCCCGTCATATGATATGTCCAAATTTTGTACCGAAACATGAAAGATTCCAAACACTGCTATTCATCCGGACCCTCCCCTTATTGGTTTTTTATATTGGTTTTGTTTTATATAGGTACAAAAAAAAAAAATTTTTTTTTTTATAAAATATGTAAATCTATTCCATAGACTTTTTTTTTATCTATTAGTTAATAATTATTTAAATTTTTTTTGGCCAATAAAAACTCAGAAAATCTAATTGGGTGACCTAATTAAGTTTCTTTAGTAGCACAATCTATATTATAAATAGAATTATCTTGAATAAAGACAATATAGTTAATATAATACTTCCATCATAATAAACAACAATAAGAATTCTAATAATACCAAATAGCTAAAATTAGACGATCAGGAGTAAATAATGTATAGAAAAAAGAATAAACTGAATTTAGAAATTAAAATGCAGCCAAATGAATAAAATGAATAACCAAATCAGTATACGAAATAAGAAATATAATAAAAATAGATTAATTAAAACGATATAAATATATTTAAAATGATAAATATAATCTAATTATCTTAAAAATAAGCATATTAATTATAGTTGACCTATAAATAATATCCTTTAGCGTTTTAAGATTGATATTTGATAATAAGAATAATAAAAATAGAAAATAAGAATAATATCAAATATTGTATACTATTATTAAAGAGTGTTATTTTTATACAATGAACAATATTAGAAGAAATTTAATTATGACGTAGTAAAAATATTCTTATATATAAATATATGTACAGTACATATGATGTATCTGGAATAATTTTTTATTAAATTAGTTATAAAGTATGTGTTTATATTTTATTATTAATAAATTATCATATTATATAAAAAATTACAATCATTATTGAACATTTTGAATTAATCATATAAAGAATGAAATTATACAAATTAATCAAAGAGTAATGAAATTTTATTATTATTTTTTTAGTTCATGAATATTCATAACATCTATGTATTTCCATTTGCCAATTAAGTTATCCATATGAATGTAAACATATAAGATAAATTTTTAATCAATGTCATAATATTTTAGAATTCTGTTTACATTAATGACAAGATTAGATAAAAAGAGACAAAGAACAATTAATTAACTAACATAATTTTTGATATTAACAGTATTTGCTCAGCTCCAACTAAGAAAAAAATTGAACTGACTTTCACAATATGAACAATATGAGTAAATTATTAGTTTACTAAAAAATAAATATATCTAATAAAAATCATGATTCAAAAATTATGGAGAGCTCATAGTCTTTGATAATTTGTGTTCTACTTGATTTTTAAAGCCTATGAAAATTATTTAACCATAAGTTTTCTACTTATTATTAGTATAAGTTAAACCAGAAAAACTGAATGATGAATATTTGAATGGAATTGAAATGTCAAAATTCTTTTATTAATTTCATTATTATAATACTTACAATCTTCTACTTTTCTTATCCATTTACTAAAGTGTCATCAAATCCAAATGGTTAAAATTTTTTCACTAGTCATAGTTTTGCCTTTTTTAATTACTTTCAGATGTTTTTTTTTTTATTGCAGATTACTCTGAATTGGCAAAAAATTCCTAATAAATTTTCTATTTAGCAATAGTTATCATTATCAGATATAACCTCCCATTTATCATCAAAAAATTATCCCAATCCAAGTGGATGGGTTTTCTTGTATCTATAATTGATGAACAAATTGGTTCATCATAATGGATATTTGTTGTTATAAGAAAGATACATAACTAATTTCTCCTCTAAGATTAACAGACCTTAAACAGAAAATTTAGATGTACTAAAGTGACCATAGGATGCAAGCAGTATACCATTATGAAGTGCTATAAAATGACTACAAGATGCTAATTTTGCATGCTTATTGTTGAATATTATCTGGTCAATCAAATACCTTAAAAGATATTTTTTGGACATACTATATATTTTGATAAAAATTCAATAGTACTTTTATATATAATATGTAGTTCTTAAGAGTCTGAACACTTTGCATCCGTAATATGAATTACTTTGATCACAAATCCACAAAGGACTTTGTGTGTTGTATAATTTTCAAGAAAATTTATCTTAACAAAAGAAGTGATAATAGTAAGGCTTTTTATAAAAGAACATGCAGATTAAAAATACTGTTCAGTAGTTGGGAATTTAAAGTTTATTGACATATAGTTCATAAGCATATTGTTAAAGTTGTAAAAAGTAAAATTTATTATCTGTAAAATTGTATTGTCTGAAGCATAGTGGAAGACTTTTATATCTTACAGTATAGTAATTACATTATTTTCTTAATCAGGTGTAATGATTTGATCATGTCCATATTACATACTATTTGTGGTCAAGTATACAATCAAATGATATCATTGTATCACAATATTACTGATATTTATATTGTCAAACAAGAATGACAAGAAATATTAGCATTCCACATGACAATTTTACTTTTTTTACTTTTTTTTATTAACTGAGAGGATATCCTCCTTAAAACTGTTTCCTACCAAATTTACATGGAGTTCAAATCTTGAAAAATTATGCCCAAAAACTCTGAAATTACATTTAAAGGTATTAATAAGTAATATAAAATGAAAAAATGTTACTCATTCTCTATATACTCACCGAAAACATCGTTGCATAAAAGTCAAGACCGATAAAGTACGGGACAATCCATAATCGATTGTTTAATTTTATTTTAGTTGTAGAATATATTCAGTTTTTTCGTAGTTCTTTAGTATTTAACATTGAACGTAATCTGAAATGTTTTTGGTATTTTTTAGGTCTATCTAGAAAGGATACACTTAATGTTTAAAAGAGTATTTAAATTAAAACATGTTGATGTTGCTTGATATGGAAGCTAATTTCTATTGGATCTGAGAAAGGTTTCAGTAGGGTTCGATACAGTCAACTCGCGTTAATTTAACACGATTCAGGTTGGTATTAATAATTATAATGACTCGTGAACCGGCTGAACCGCATGTCCCGACATGTCATAAATTTCCTGACCCGGATGTAATTCTGGCCAAATTAAGCCAATAGTTCATTATTTGATTTCTGCTAATATCACGCCTAATTATTTGACTTTATTATATTAGACTAATTCAGAATTCATAATACACAGTGAAATTCGATATAATGGAACCATCCGTTCCATTGGTAAAATTTGTCAAAAATCCGTTATATCAAGGGTAATTTAATTATAGATTATGATATTAAATCCGTTCCAGACCCTGATTCCGATATATCAAGACTTTACTTATGTTCCGTTATATCAAGGTTCCGGTATATCGAATTTTACTGTGTAATAACTTGATCTTGTATGGCCATTTATCATTACCAAGCCACTTTTTCTTTAACTGTAAGCAAATGATCAATTAAAATGAATTTATTATGTAAATTTTTTAGATTATCAATATTAAGTCGGTAATATATTTTGAGTTTAACCTGTTTTACACATACTTAGGTCGAGTTACGAAAATATAAGACCTGAATAAATTACGGGTCTTTCCATTTTCATTCAAATCAGGTCGAATATATTCTCAAAACCTGGCTCGACTTACCGATGTACAGGAACAGGCTTATGTCGGGAGGGCTGGTTCGGTATTTTAATCCATCATACCTTTTATATCATTAATTGTCCTACCATTGCAAAAAAAAAAAAAGTTAAATCAAGAACTAACTCATGAATAGGAGGGAACTTCTAAATATATCAATTGATGATTCAAAAAAAGCTAAGCCCTTAAAGAGAACTATTCCTATTTAGAACTTATTAAAAAGACAAACATTATTTACTGGTTTACTGTACATAAAATTTGATTTTTATAATTCTATCGATAATTTGCTACGATTTGTTATTTGTTTTTTGCTCGAAACATAAATAGGATCGGTGTAATTGATCAGTATTACTGCGGCCAATGAATCATGGTCGGACAACATTACTTTTACATTTTGTCTTTGTTTCCGGATATGTAAAAGCTGTTTTTTTTGTAATTTGAAAATTTGAGAAATTACGATTACGGAACAACTTATTACCGCAACAAAAGTGTACTATAAATCGAGAGTTACTAAAGTTATTATATATTTTACGTTTTATAATTCAATTGTGGGAAATTTTGTAATGATCAATCAATTGTTTATACAAAAGTAATGCAATGAAACGTACATCTGTCGATCTCTTAAAATAAATATAAACTTGACGGTCATTATTTACTAAAAAAAAAAAAAAATCCTTTCCTTTTCCTTTTTTTTTTTTGCGAGTTAAATAATTTTTTTCAAAAATGGACTCTTACTCAAAAAACAAAATATCCGTTGAATGTTACAATGAAATTTTTTATCAACTTAAAAATGATATAAAGACTTTATATAATTGTACATTCGTAAACCGATTTTTTTGTCGTTTAGCGACGCCGTTATTATGGGGTACGCCTTTTGAACACATAAATTTGGAAAATCCAAAATCACCTCTTATTATAAATACATACGTAAGTTCTTTAGTGGATGAAGATAAATCATTTTTAAGACTTACAGGAATTCCTTTAGAATTACCAGAAGCGACATTTTTTTATTACCCTGAATTCTTAAAAAGTTTTAATTCACAAGTATTTCAAATATTAATTGAGAGGTGGTTAATATTAATGGAACCATATAATTATTATGTAAATTATCAGGATAAATTGGTATATTCAACTTATCTTGTTAGTAATTTATTATTTGCGTCGACTAATAAATTGGAATCCTTGAATTATTTTAGGTTAAGTTCTCATGATAGAATGTTTTTTATTAACCATAAAGAATTTGTTTATTCTATATCTCATTTAGTAAATTTGGAGATTACCTATTTTGCTGGAGCAAACAATCCTAATATTCAAGAAGATGAAAATAATCTTAATAATTTATTCGATACTTTATCTCATTACACTTTTTCGATTAGATACGTTAAAATTAATATTTCATCAAATTATATCGCTTCATTTACTTCACGTTTTATTGAAAGTATTTTTAATTTTATCGCGCATCAATACAAATTAGAAGCGTTATCATTTAACGAATCCTTAATTTTCGAAAACTTATTCGAATTTGAGGAAATTATCAAATCTCAGGAAACAAATTTAAGGCATTTAACAATTGGGGGGAAACTAAAAAATTTCTCACGAATAGTAAAAGTCTTACGAAATTGTAGTAATTTAGAGTCATTAATCTTTGAAGGAAAAAAAGGTTCTATTATAGAGGAGGATAATTGGGGATATTATGATGTTAAAATGAGGGAAATACCCATAATTGAAGAAATTGATTTCAATAAATTGAAAATCAGAAAAATTTATTGTATTGAAGATTGCGTAAGCGTAGATGATGTAGATGATGGATATAGTAATTATATGTACGATGAGCAACAACAAGAAGAATTTGAAACAACAGGAGGTGATTCATCAATCAGTGATGATATGGTTACACTTGGTCTTAAGAAAATACTCTTAATGACCAGCGCAAATTTACGAACATTAAATTTAGGTAAAATAAATACCTTTATCATTACAATATTAAGAGAATATTGTTACGAATTAACAAATTTATCATGTGAAATATCAATTAAAGATTTTTGGTCGTTTACCAAGTTATTAGAGGTGTTGAGTGGGTTAGAACATCTCGAGTTGAAATTAGAGTTGAAATTAGAATTGTCGTCAATGTTAAATGATAATTATATTGTGACGTTCACGAATTCATTACCTAACTCCTTGCAGAAATTAGGTTTAAATATCTATAGTGACGAAGACGAATTCATCACATACTTTTTAATGAAATTACTGGAAAATATGGGCTATAACAAATTATTTGAATTATATTTTTGTAATGAAAAAATGATTCGAAACGAAAATTTACGACTAATTTTACAATTTGCTTTAAATAGGATTAGATATTATGGTAATGATGTTAGAAACTTCAAATTTAAATATGTTATAGGAAATTTTAATCAAGACTTCGATCAAGCTTTATTACAAAATGGGCGAGAATGTATGGACATCATACGTGAAGAAATTTCGGACCGTTATAAGTAATTATATAGGAAAGTCTTTTATAAAAATGCTATTTGATGGGGTTATTAAAGATGAATTTTTTTCTTAGGCTACTTTAGAATATTAGATGTATTGGATATTAGATATATCAGATGTATTGCTATATTGTTAATTATCTGTTATGCAATAAATTGGTATTTGATATTCGGTATATGTACGCCATTTATGTTATTTTATTGTGATCATAATTTTGTCAAAGTTGATTTATTTAAAAATAGACGCGCTAAACAATTTTTACAGGTCACGGGACAGGGACAGTGTTGAAAATACACGCGATCACAACGAATCGTTTGCCGATTCAAATTTACTATTTCATAGAAATGAATAGACGCTAGCATCCATTGTAAGTGAAATGATGATACTATGAGTTAACTCTATTGAATTGAATCAAATTTATTATTTCTTAGAAATGATTGAACGTTAGCGTTACATCATTACGTCACACTTTTTGAAAATCCACTATAAGTGAAATGATAAAGTATATGATTACTATGAGTTAACTAATTCTATTGAATTTTAGATATTTGGTCTTTATTGCAAATATACGTAAATTTTTTTTTTTTCTTTTTTTTTTTTATCATCACTTTATCAATCAAGCATCATTTCTCTAAAATGCGGCGATCTCTTCATCTAGTCAATTGACATAACCAATAATTGAAGAAAAAAAATTTTTATTTATACCATCATAATCAATAATACCAAAAAGTAAATAGTGGAATCTTACAAAATCCCTGTAAGTTCAATATATTCTCGAATTCTTTATGTTTCGGTCATATTTCCTTTTTTTATAATTTCATTCTAAGCACATGATGGTATGATGGGCCGCCAATACCACCTTAATTGTAAATGAAATTAGTGGACTTTAATCATTATTATGTTATTATTTAATCATGACTAATGGAAAATATTTTTCTTATCATAAAATTTTAATATAACTAAAATTTGTCTCTTTTTCCATGATTGGTTGGACCGGTTTATGTTATTTATATTATTTATATTATTGCTAAAAACCAGGTATTCGGCATTTCGGCGTTTCGGCGGTTTATATTCAAAAGAAGTAAAAAGAATATGACTAATATATATATATATATATTAATATGAATAACAAAATAAAATGGATAATCAGCACAAAAAAAAAAAAGAAATTTCTATTTTCGATGATTGATAAATAAAATTTCCTTAAAAAGGAATATTTAAAAATAAATTTGTTATTTTTAGATTAATTTTTTACAAAGAATTTTTTTTTTTTGATTTACAAATTATTTTTTGTAATTGTCATTTTGTCATTACAAGTTTGAAACTGGTTTAAAAAAATTGCTTTAGACATTTTTGGACAGGTAATAAGGGGTAAAAAAAAAAATTCCATTTATCAAAAGAAAAATTTAATAAAAAATAAATGTATTATTATTGCTCAATATTTTCAAAATCCCGACCAAATTCCGAAATCTTATCACGTGAAAATATAATGATTTCGGGATTTCGTATTGTAGTATTATTTCTTGACTTATTTCGTAAGTAAATCCTATTGGTCAAATAAAGTGTAATGAATCCAAAGCCATAATATCCAAGCACAAACGGAAATTTAGATTCAAACTATTTAGTTTCTGGTAATACGTACCGATATATTGGAGTGTTAATAAATATGGCCGGAATTATCATTAGTACGAGCCGGAATTATCGTTAGTATGAGCCGGAATTATCATTAGTATGAGCCGAAATTATCGTTAAAATGAGCCGGAATTATAATTAAATCTTTCACGCCTTTTATACATTCATATATATATTGTATATAACTGATATTATGTGTACATATTGTACTCATTGTTATACATTTGTTCGGATATTATTTGTTCTCTTACATATTAATTGCCGTTTTTATAATTTAATTAATATGTATATAGTTTAATGATTTAAATATTTATTATTAATTAATCTATAAAAATATAATATATTATTATTACTAAAATGTTAATGTAATAAGAAAATACCATAAATATATATTCATGATGCAATGGATTGATAAATTATGATTCTTCTTTTTCTGTTGTATCTGTGTCTGTTGTATCACTTGTATGTGTTGATGTTGTATCTATTGCTGTTTTCGTTGTTTGATTACGAAATAAAAAGTACCAACAAGCAAACCCAACAAACAAAAATATAATGCTAACCCAGATAAATGATATATGAATCATATACGGTATTTTAGAACCGATATGATCGTTAGGATCTTTATCAGGGAAAAATGATAATATAATAATTAGTAATCCTGAAATTTCAAACAAATAAATTATTATACGTGGCACTTTGAATGGAGAGACAATAGAACTTCTTTTTCGTGTTCTCTGGAATTTTTTTTTTTTTTTTAAAAAAAAAAAATTAGTTTAGAATTTGAAAATTTGTGAAAAAAATAAAAATAAAAAAAGTTGAATTTGTATTATACTTACAACTAAACCCCAACTTGTAGCAATGAAAAATATCCAATAAGAAAAAGTTGATATCGAAGAAAATAATACGAAACTATCTTCTGGTATTGATGCGCCAATAAATAATATAATGAAAATACACCATCCAAGTTGTGCTAATAACGCGTTAACTGGAGTATATTCGATGTAGTGTAATTTTTTCCCTCCCTGCCCTTCCTGAATCATAGTCCTTTCTTTCCACTTTTTTAATTGTGGTGAAATTATTGGAAAAAAATTTGATTCCGCCGCTGACACAATAACTCTTGATCCACTAACAAAAAAAATTTTTTGGTATATATACGTATTTTTTTTTAAAAAAAAATGACAATTTACACTAAATAGTAAATACCTCCAAATATTTGTTGCAGCTGTACCAATAGCAGAAAGAACAACAAAAAATGAGAATATCCTTGCTACGGTAACGTGAGTATCATTGACAAAAACTTTTCTAAAGAAAGTTGCTGTAATTACCTCATCGCGTTTTTCGGGGACAAAATCAGATGGTGAAGCAGCAGAAATAAATGCAATGTTTACCAATATATCTGATACAAAATAAATGGTTAGAAAAATGATACAATGTTTCGTTAAAAAAAAAAACGCCTTTAAAAAACTTACATGATATAATTACAATTACAATACTAATAATATTACTAAGTATTAATTTTTTTTGAGGATTTCTAAATTCATCTAAAGAATAGTTTAAAGTATTCCAACCATTATAACTAAATAAAATATTAAGAATCGCCGTAGGATAAGAATAAGGGGATGGATCATCGATAGGTTTATTCCAATTTCCGCTATTATACTTTGATATTCCACTGAATGCAATTACCACTATCATAACCAATTTAGTTATTGCAAGCGTATGGTTTATCTTATTTGCCAATCTTCTATTTAACAAATGATATCCTGTTATTAATAACAAAAATAAAATTGCTACCAATTTCAATACCCTATAAACAAGAGAAATTATTTAAGGATTTTTAATAACGAAAAAACAAAAATTTACATATATATTGTTAAAATAAATACCAGTAAGGCCTAAATTTGTTATTCCAACCAATTAAGGATGAATCAATTTTTTCTTTTCCATCCAATGGAGATTCTCCAAAAATCATAAACCACGCGTATTGTGCAGCAGACTGTAATACTGCGCATATAATCACGGGTCGAATCACACTAAATAACAGCATGTCAAATTAATTATATGGAAAGTTTTTTTTTACAATAGTAATTATTATACTCACAATATGAACATGAAGCTAAAAAGATAGCTTGCCATAAAAGGTGGGGATGGATATGCTTTATCCAAATAAATTTTTTCTCCACCATTATCTCTATGAAGAGCTCCATACTTTTTTTAACCAGAGAGTTAACAGTTAATGATATAAAGTTTTTTTTTTTTGAAAAAAAAAAAAAAAAAAAAATTTGTGCCATCTTAAATATTTTATTTTATTTTATTTTATTTTTGTTAGAAAAGGATTGAATTAAAACAAAAGATCACGTTTAAAGGGGAGTTAGNTTACTATATAAATAAAAATATGCATTACACCTAAGATGTTAAAAAAATAAAATATGTCCTTTATTTGCATGATACAATGCCTTTCTTTGTACTGTAAAAAAAAAAAAAAAAAAAAATAACCTTTATATAAATATAACGCTATTTACCTCGGCATAAATAAGGGAACCAAATAAACTTACAATTCCACCAGCTAGCCATAATAATAGTATGACATAAGGCTTTTTTATTAGGTTCAAAACAATTCCCGGAGTTGTGAAAATACCTGCATATTTATTATTCATTTTTAATCTTTAAATTTCGAATGATATTCCTTTTTTAAAGATAACTGATAAATATAAATTAAAGTACTAACCAACTCCTATTATAGTATTCACATTCATCCCTATACCATAAATTACGCCAAGCAATTCTTTACTTTCTCTCTGCTGGTTTTCAGGCTGACCATTTTCATCATCTAGATTTTCAATTTGTGCCATCTTAAATATTTTATTTTATTTTATTTTATTTTTGTTAGAAAAGGATTGAATTAAAACAAAAGATCACGTTTAAAGGGGAGTTAGAATGTCATAAACGCTGATGTTTATATATATGTGTAATAGTCTATTTTTTTTCTTTTTGATAAAAAAAAAAAAAAAATTAAAACTAGACAATTTATGTTTTGTGTTTTGTACAGAGAATTTATTTTTTCATCAATTTAAATAAATTATAAAAATTTTGGATATACAAAAAAATCTTTATCTACAAAACATCAGAATCACATTGCATTTGTAGATTACAGTAATGCTATATTTAACCAATTTTGATAAAAATAACAATCAATAAAAAATTTTATGTATGATATCATATGATAAAGAAAGTTATATGAAAAATTAAATATAATTTTGTATGGTGCTTTATTGGTAATAATTTTCATAACGTTACGTTCGCTAATTTTAAAAAATTTCAAAATTTAAAAAAAAATTTTACTATTGTGATAATAGTTTAATAGGGAAAAATTTTATTCAAATAATTTATGTTCAAAAATTCACATTAATATTAAATATTAATTTAATTTATATAATGAAATAAATATAGTTTTCCGGAAGTAAAATCTTGCCATAATTCGTAATCTCGGTCGATCTTTTAAGATCAAATTATGATAAACAAAATTAATACCCAGATTTATGCTGATTGACAAATAATTTCTAATATAATCATTATATAATTATAAATTAAGTAAATTCATAATGAAATTTTATACCTTATCGTTATTGAATAATCCAGTAAGAATTCAACTTTTTTAATGTTAACATTAAATTGGTTGTATGGTATCTATTCAAATATTATGCCTTTATAAGATTTTCCATTTAGAATGACGTGGCGCATGACGAATCTATGTATTTTCCACGGATTTACTACAATCAGAATCCCGCTCACAATCCCGACAAATCATAATCCCGAAACTTTAGAATCCCGTAACCTCCCGATATTCATTATCCCGAAACTAATTAAATTCAAAAAAATGATTTATTAATATCTTTAATCAGTATATTAAAAAATAAAAAAATTATTATATCTAATATAAAAACAAATTCTTTTTTTTTTAAAAAAAAAAAAATAATCAAAATAAATAAAATTTACAAAAATTCATTAATTGTTACTTAATTTTTGCGATGTATTATTAAATATTATCCCTTAAACTGCAGGTAAATTTGCCTGCAATTTTACCGAAAATTCAGTTCTCATCTAATTTTATGAAAAATGAAGTTATTCTAATAAAATTTTTTTTTGCAAAGAGCTTAAATCATATTTTATGTGACAATAATTATTATTTATTAATTTCATTTTATAAGATTAAAGATTAACTATTGGTCAAAAGTTGTATTTTTTAGATGACAAAAAATTTTGAAAAATTTTGCATTCAATTTTGACGATCTCATTGGAATTTGATTATGGCTATATTAAAGCTTAATAGAATATGTAGATTTTGATATGGGGAACAACATTTATTATTATGATTTTTAATGTTTAGATGTGGCAATTTGACTTTACATAGAACCTAAAAAACGAATTATTTTTGTGAACTTGTAAAAAATGCATAAAGTTAAATTTTATCATCTCTATTTTGTTCATTGGGGCTTGAAGTTTCATAATAAAAATAAATAAGTATATTAAAATGCTTTGTAATGAAGCAGAATATTATGGTAAAGAAAATTAATTTATTATATAAAAATTCCGACGTTATTTTTTCGAAGTTAATTTGTGTCTAATTTTCCCACATATCGAATCCTAAGAATGTAGATCAATATAACTGCGGAATTATAGGATAATCCAAATCATATTGACAAAGTTTGTGTTTTGATATAATTTATTTTGGCAAATTTGCCGGCATTACCGTTTAAGAGATAAACATTAAAAAAATTATTAATTTTTACAATAGAAATAATAGAAATTATAATTTTTGCGATATTTTAAAAATTTTTTATATTCACTTCAGGAATTAAAATTTCATTAATGAATTCATAAATAATGGATGCCATTATAAAGGTTTTTAAGATCATATTAATAACGTGTATTTGATAGGTGTTCCAAAATAAAAATATTTAATTCATATAACTAGCCATTACTTTATCACCAGAATCACGCCACGTTATACTAAGAGGGTATGACAGCAGAGAAATTATTATGAAAATTTTTTGATAAAAAAAATGCATAACACACGCAGTATATAATAAACGTCGTTATTACTTTAAATGTCCTTTTAAATTTAAATTCAATCTTTTGAAAATTTTTGAAATTTCCCAAATTTCCAAAAAATTTCCAAATTTTATTATATTCATTTTATTTTAACTAAACTCTTTTTCTCAGAAAATTCGGACATCAAACAATTAAATTGTGGTTATATTATTTATATATTTATCATATACTATTTACATATAATTTAAACTAACTAAAATACTAATTATTTAATAATATAGTTCGAAAGTTATTTATTTACTTCTATTATTACATATTTATATAATATTTACATACAATTTAAATTCTTTATTTAAAAAATTATTTGGTAATTTCTTTTAGCTGGTACGTTATAAGTTATTATTTAATTCTATTATTACATATTTATATTTCCTTGCTCATAGAAAATGCCTTTCTTCTGAGCAAAATTACATGATCCCAGTCAAGATTAATACATGTGACATTTAAAAAGGGTATTTTTTAATAATCCACGTGAACTAAGCCACGGTGCTAATTACAAGGGCACCATGAACTTAAAGTAACTATGATAAAACCGTTGAGCCGTCGAAATAGATAGTGCCACCCTGGTGTAACATTTAAAAAGTCACATACTCACGTGATACAGGTTCAATAATTTTGTACTGCGGAGCCAAAATCATCTAATAATAATTCTCCCACAATTTATAGGGGGACAGGAATGACTTATCATATCGAATCATGTAAGGTTTGCGATCATTTTTCACATATACACTGCAGGTGCAAAAGTCGTTCCCCGAGGGAATTTTTTTTGCTACCAACAGATATCTTGATAGGCTAAAATGTTTAATAATTTGTTAATTAATAAAACTATAAATTTTAAATAAAATAAATTTGGCATAAATTTTAATAATAATTCATTTAGACTTAGATCGTTGACAATTAAATTCAGGAATTCTTTAATGATACGAAACAGCAGAAAAATTTATGATATAAGTTAGTTCTTTTTATAGTGATTATTTAGTCTTTGACCATTTTGTATGTAATTTACTTTTACTTATCAATGATAAGTGTTACTTAGTTGAATATCAAAGAAAAATAGAAAAAGCGTAAATTTTAAAAACAAATATACATCATGCTATTTGCTTTCAACAATATTATATGAACTAATTAAAAAAGAAAAGTTTTTTTGTTAAACCTAATAAATAATTAATAAGAAATTGACAAAGAACCCAACTGAATTTTTTATTCAATGAACTTAACATAAACTGCAAAATTTGAATTACAAATATATGGATAGATTTTGGTTCATAAGAAATTTTGTTTAATATCTAACTATCCTTTATAAGATTATGTAAATAAAACTAGACACTTTAGAGATTTCGATGTATGATTCTTATACCTTGACATTCGGAGTCCTGTCTTTGAGGTCACTGCTTGCATACCTTAAGGGGATGGCCCTGTCTTGGTAGTCACTCTACAATACCTGTCTCTTATACACATCTAGATGTGTATAAGAGACAGCTACGACACCACTAAGGGTATGGTATAAAAAAAATGTTATACTTAGAACAGATGTGTATAAAGTATAAACGTACTAATTATGCAAGAGAATTTGGAACTCTTTCCATCGATCAAATTCTCAGGACTAAAAAATAGACGGAGGAGTGCAAAAGTTCTATTATAAAGTTATTTTTCTGCATTTCTGACATCATCAACTGTTTATTCCTCCTTTAGGAACCGTTCGTTTGATATGGTTTTTTTCCATAAGTTATAAAGAATTTAGAGAATTTTTACCAAAAAATTGTTTCAGACCGGGTTTGAAAGAAAAATATATTTAAAAAGCTGGCGTGAGCATAGGTTTTTCTATAAACAAGTTTGGAAAGTGCAATACAGAGAAAGAACTGCAAAAATGACTTTTCTTTTGGGCTTTTTGTTTTGTTTTGTTATTCTTTACCTAGTCTCTTGTGGTCTTAAGTTCTCTCAAAATTTAGAATTTCCTCAAAACCTTAACGTGATACACAAGTATTTAACGTGAATAACTGTAAAGTCAATGACTGCACAAATTTAGTTTTATAACTGCGACATATTTAATACGTCCTCTAACTCCCCCTGAATATGACCTTATTTTAAATACTAATAAATAAAAATAGAATTATCTTTGTTAACCAACATCTTTGTGCTTCATATTTTTACAATTTAGAGACTTTAGAGTTCGAGTTTACAAAGTATTGAATTATAACTTTTTATTACATAATGGTATGACCAGTCTTTCTTCGTCGGGGTTTTTGGTGATTTCAGCAGTAGGTGGCTTAAAAATGCTTGTTTGTTAATATTGTTTGATGTCGGAGGTATTTCAGTGATTTCAATCCGTGACAGATTATCTACGGGCTAGATCACATCTCTAGTTATTATGAGATCAGATATTGTAATATCATTGACAGTTTATCTACGGGCTAGATCACATCTTTGACTTTATATGAGTAGTAATACAAACCAACATATTTTATTGATACGCAGTATATTATAAACATTATTATAAATTAATTAAATAAGTTTTATAACTGTATTTATAAGTAAATAAATTTGTTATACTGCTGCCTCTACAAATTTTTCCATATAACTTATGATTAATAAGTAATAGACTTTCAGTAAGCTTTTTTATTGCCCGAAATGTAAGCGTAGGACACTTCCAAACTGGGGAATATTAAATTCTGGAATCTTGTGTAAATATCAAAATGTCATTTTTTGTTATGTATATCACGCGTGTTTAATTTATTTAAGCCTTCAAGTACACAAGTTGAACTTATTTTTTCGGTAATGTATACATACGATAAAAACTTTATACTAAAACCATTGCCAAATTATATATCAAAAATAAATTTATTTTATTTTAATCAATAACAATAATCAAAGCTAGATGAAATTATTTAATAATATAGGGTATTAACTATATTATAAGCCACAATCATAACATTATTAGTCATCATTAAGCTAATTCATATTACTAGTTTTGGTAGTTTTAGATTAAATATCTTTATAAATTAATTGATGCAATAAATGTGACTAATAGATGATCTTGATTTTTTTTTATGAATCATAATAAGTTATCTATTTTATTATTAGTCATTATGTATTCAAGGGGTTTTTATAAATATATATATACCCTTAAACTTCCTCAAGGAAAAAATCAAAATTCAAATTTCAATACTACTATTTTTCAAATATCAAACCAAACTATTTTTCAAATATCAAACCAAACTATTTTTCAAATATCAAACCAAATTTTTCTTTCAAATTTTTAAATTTTTAAACTGTAATTCAAAATGTCATATCACTTGTGCCCAAATATTATTGATACTATTTTAAAGGAAATTCCCATCAACAAATGTTACAATCCTCCTCAACCTATTGAAACATCCCAATATTTACCATTGCTTGCTGGATTCTTCTACATTCTTTTTATCATTCTCCTCATAAATACAAATATTCTCACCAACATAATTGTCCTAATTCTTCGTTTGTTAAAATTCGTGTGTGCTACAATTATTTTTCTCCCTTCTCTCCCCTCACATCTCTTTAATATATTTCATTCTTTTAAACATTTATTATTATCTATATTATTACCATTTCTTCTTTATCTATTATCTACATTATCATCAATTCTCCTTCATTTTCTTTACCTTCTTAATTGGATGATTTATATTATCCTTTTTTCTTATTCTTTACTTTATAAAATTATCCATTTAGTAAATACTATTCTACTTTCAATCCCCCAGTAGTTTAGTCATCTTTTTCTTTCTTATTTTTTCTCAATTCATATATTTTTCAAAATTATCTTATATTATGTAGCTAGGTCCATTGCTTACCAAATATAGCATGGAGACATAATCTTTACCCTTTGGTCAACTTGGGATTACTTGACCATTCTTAGATAGATAATTTTTACAAGGGGATCGTTTGCATCGCCCTTAATTGGTGTCAGAGAGATCCTTTGTCTTGTAAAAATTTACCCTCTCTTGATCATTTGACCATTCTTAGATAGATAAATTTTACAAGGGGATCGTTTGCATCGCCCTTAATTGGTGTCAGAGAGATCCTTTGTCTTGTAAACATTTATCTTTCTTATGATCATTTGATCTATCTCATGTGATTTTCTTCTTCACATGTGATATCCTTTATTTCATTCCTTTGTTGAGTTCTTTCCTTAATAACTTATCAACTCAACAAAATCCATCACCGTTGGTTCCACAATTTCTGTGTCCAAGTTCAATTCTTGGAGGTGATTTTCTTTAGTTTATCTTCTTTTTTTTCAATTTTCTTTTTTCTTTTATAGGAGTTCCAGACGAAATTATAAACTAGACTTTAGGTACTAGAAATATTTTATTATTTGTTTTTTTTTTTAGTAGTATTTTTAATATTACTTATTTTTCTTTTTCTTATAGGAATTACTGAGACGAACTGGACTCAACAATGATGGTATTTTCAGTTTTTTCGTGTGGTAGTGTTAAGTGTTTGAAAATCTAATGACAGAGTTGAAAGTCCTGCCAACACTCCCGTCAATTATTATCCAATTAAAGCCACGGGAGAATACATAACGGATAGACAAGATAACTACGATATACATTATGTTGAGATTCTGCAACGATTTGGTAATAATAATTTGTTATCAGGTTCAAGAATATTTTCACTATCACATGGCAAGAATTTATCTTACTTGGTTAAATAGCTAAAATAAGTATTTTTATAATAATTGTATTGTAAAATTGTATTTTATTGATTTTTTGTTCATGTGAGCAGAATACTCTGGTTTAATTAATAATACAATATTTATTATTAATAAAATTTTTTCATAAGGATTTATATACTTATTAATGTCGACTATTTTGACGTTCAAATAAAAGAAAAGGTAAGCAAAACAGGTACAATCGGTGCCAATTTACCAAGAGTGAGTAATAAATTAAATTACTTTATATTTTATCCCTTTTGATATTAATGAAACATCCTTTTTTCTTTTTAGACTTGAATCTAGTTGTTGATGGTGAGAATAATCTAATTAAGGAAGTAAAACAAGTAACAAGTAATTACTAAATTCGTCTAAAAATTCCTCTACAAGAAATTTTATTATTTGAATTTATTTCGAAATCTAAAATATTCTTTATCAAAACTTGAAATATATCGAAGAAAAACCTAAAAGTCAACTAACGATCAATTTACAATTCTCTTTTTAATTGACAAAAATACTTAGGGTAATCCCTGGATTCAAGCATATATACGAGAAGGTGTTTATCTTCACGGTTACACTATGATGCAATCTGAAAAGTAAAAAAAAATAGGAAATGTACTATTTCAATGCACATTATCAAAAATTAAAAAAATTCATGTAACATAGCATATTTTTTATTATACGCATTCGAAAATTTATCAACTACTTAAATTATATATGAATTCTATAAATTCGGAAAATGTTATATGTATTTCTATCATTAATATATCATATGATAAAAAGATCATACGATTCTTGTACTTCCTTGTGAGTTTTAATTTACTCCCCAAAATCGCATCTCCTTGTGATTTTTAAATCCCGAAATTGCACCTCCTTGTGATTTTTATTAATCCAATTTTTTGCTTTAAATAAATCCTGATTGCTTTTAAAATACAAGCGCAAGTTTTTGTTTTTTCTATTGAACCAACAAAATAAATCGATTTTAACAAACCAATTTATTACTTCATGATTATCAAATATATATCCATTACTGATATCAATAAATCGCATTGTATTTGTAAAGTCTGGTCCATAACCATATGAGAAGCATTTATAATAATCTTTTAAAAATCTAAAACTTGTATTCTTAATTAGATCTACTGCTATTCCCATAGAAAGTAGACTTTGAATGCAGCTGTTACGCGATTTTTGTACAAAATTTAAACTTGAATGTACATGTATATCCTTAGGCCAAAACCAAATTTCAACCTTCCAATTGTTTTCTAGAGCTTCTTTTATTCCAGGGCATAGATTCTTATCACCTGATATCAAAATTAATGTGCCAGGACCATTCGTAATAACGGTTTTTGTTATAGCACGTGTTATTTCTGTATCAACTTCCTTATCGTGATTTTCGGGATTTCTGTTAAAAACTTTTACTTCAAACCCATTTTTTTCTACAAACTCCCACAGTGAATCATACGACGGAGGATGTGAACCAACGAGGTATGGTCTTCCACCAACTTTGCGATTATCCAAAATTGTTTTCAGTAGTCTGCCATAGTCGATTCTTAATTCATCAAAGGAGGGGAGTCCTTCATCATCAACGCTACTCAAATTTTCAAGTCTAGCAATATTTTTTTTCCCTTGAACATAAAGGTTGGAATTATCCACAAATAAGTGGACAAGTCCAGAGGGTCCCGTGATAAAAGTGCTGGCTATAGAAAAAGAGAAAGCAGAAGTTAGCCTCTAATATTAAATATGTGATGTTGAATTGAGAGGCACTTACCAGTGGTAGCGGGAGGTGGTGGTTGTACGATGATGCGGATGTTCTTGGAGTTACCATACGCAAAAATGTCACCAAGATCCTTAAATGGTGTTAACTTTTCTCCTCCAAGCTTTTGTATGATAGTATTTTCATCATTTATATCATGAGATCTGCTTTCAAGTGTTTTCAGTGTTTTTAGTTTATCATTTTCTACATCGCCAGGAATATTCACCTTCCATAGATACAACTTGTTGGCATCAAAAGCTTTGCCTTTGAAATCGTTCTCGTTCTTCTCATAAATTTTTTCCCTGAGGTTTGAAAAGCTCATTTCTGTCTGGCCTTTAACTTCAAAGGCGCTCTCAATTTCGGTACCTACTACAAAACAAATGGCCATGATATCGGTGGTATATCTGCAAACGCGAAAATCGAGAGTTAAAAATAAGGTTCAAAAAGCTAATTTTTCAGTATAACACAAGCGAAAGTTTGTACCTGGGATGGCGAAAATACTCGAAATAACGAAGAATAGCTTGACGTTTTCATATATGTATGTTTCCATAAATGGTTGATGACTAACTGTAAGTCATTAATTCAAACTCTTTGACTTCCTTCTTGCTATATGTCACATGAGAGTGCGCCGATCAAAAAATAATATCTGAATTAGTTGTCGATCGGTATTTCGGACAAGACAAGGTCATGAATATTTCCTGTGCATTTGCATGTTTATTTAATGGAATTTGTTATACCACCAATAAAAAAAAGTAATGAAATAACCAAATTTCAAATGATAATTTAGAATTTTTAAAAATTAGCACCTTTAACAAAATTACTTTTAAGATTGCATTCCAAAATGAGATGATCTTTTGAAATTACGCCATTTACACTTAACGAATTAGAGTGAAGACAATCACATGCTTCAATTGATTAATAAGGTTATTTCCCAGTATTTATAATGATGAAAACATTTATAAGCTGTAGTATGTATTTATTTATACGAAAATAATAACAATTAAGCTAATTAAAATATACAATTCAACTAGCTAAATAGGCATTAATTTTTTTCTATAACTTTTTTTGCTGGTTTTTTTTTCTTTTAAACCAATTTTTTTGGTTTTTGTTTAGATTCAGTGATAACTATATTGTCCGATTTGCGTCAAGTGACTTCAGGTTAAAATTAGTTAAATCCAAGAAATAAAATAGAATAAATAAAAAATATAAAAATGCAAAATCTGATAGTTGATTTTTAGTAAAGCTATATTTCACATAAATATCTTTTATCAAAAATGTTAGCAACGTATACGTAATTTATCTAATAATTGAAAAATCCTTTCATACATATTCCATATTACTCAGGATACTGTTTGATAATGGTCGAATGTATCAGTTGCGGTGTCATAATCCGTTTCAGATGGAGCGGGAGAACACGTCGTGTTGGGTGGTAGATGGACTAAACATATATGTAGTTCCTATAATGCAGATTTTTTAACTAATCACTGTTAAATCAGTAATTTCGGGTATATTAAAACATCAGCTAAATGTTTAGATTATAGGTTTTTACGATGGAAATTATGCATAAATTTTTTTTAAAGGACGAGCTAACATTTTTCAAACATTTGTCTAAAGATATATAAAGCCTGTTCTTCGCATTAAATTTTTATTTTTTTCATTTTCTTTCCTATTGATTTTGAGCATGTATCTCACGTGCTCTTTTCAATTGTTTTGAGATAGTCATTTACCCTTTAAAAATCTAAAATCTTCAAAAGTTTGAGAAATCATACTTTATTAACTTTTAAATAATATTAAAAGACATAAACAAATTCACAATAGTTTGAAGAAAATGAAAATAGAACGCTTTTTTGAGAAAATATTTCCTATAAAAAAGTAGCAATAAACTTACTTTATACTTGTTGTGCTTCTTACTTACTTTCTTTTTAAGAAAAATCGCGTTATTTTATAAAAGAGGTGATGATTAAGAATACTTTTGCAGAATTTGTATGAGAAATGATGAGATTAACTTTAATAGCTCTGATAGCTTAATATGTCGATCTCGGAAAAAATAAATTTTTGTTTGATTCAATTAATCAATCTGCCACCCCAACGTCGTGTCATTTCAAAAATTCTTTGTTACGTTCGTTAATGGCTACTTATTATAACGATAACGATAAAAATGAATAAATTATAAATTTCGAAAGATTCTAGATATTACTAACTATATTTATTCAGAATGTCACTTTAGACTAACCTAGTCCAATTATAATAATTGAGCCATAATCTGAACTTACAGTAATATTGCAGATTCTGGCAATAATAAAAATTTTATTACTATTATTGAAAATTACGTTTTTTTTTTACTTTTCAAAAACTAATTAGGACTAAATTAAAATAATTGTAACATATACTATTATATTAAATATGTATATGACGCCTTATATTCTCCATAAATTAAAGTCTTTTGATTTAGTACACACCATTTCGTAAAATCCATCATTTATCCTGTTGTTTTATTCTAATAATTATTTTTTCTTGTAACGTAAATTTTCAATAATAATTTAATAAAATAAATTATGTAATACTAATGAGTTTGTATACAATATTTTGTAATGTGAAAAGTATATGCATGAATGAGTTAAATAGTTTATATGTTTAACAGATAATAGAAGTAACTACGTTGTTCTTTCAAAATACTGATTTTTACAAATAAATTTAATTTAGAAATGCTGAGGAGTTGCTAAGGTAGTCCTTCCCATAATATGCTGCAGTTCAGCAGTTGGCCTCAAATACCAAGAAAATACCTACTGTAGTAAATACTAAATAATGAACTGTATACACGATTTACGATTTAATAAAATATTTATTTAATTAAAAGCAAGATTATTTTATACTTATTACGAATAATACATTTAAAATCAGCTCGATCAATTTCTATTATTATATAAATTCATGTATACTTAAACAAATACCCAATATTAAATAGTTATCGTTCTGACGTTTTTGATCATGCATTAATTAATAACATCATAAATAAGATATACTAACTAATCCACTTATTTCTTTACTCCACTTTATTATATCAATCTTGTGTTATTGCTATGCCTAATAAAAATATCGGTCTATGAAAATTTGCATGTTCCTATTGGGCTGAACGATAATCCACTTATTTTATATAACAAGCACTTTCGGAGTAATAATTTATAACCTATTTTGTAGAAAAAATCATGGCCACTGGCTTACTGTTAACAATGATAATAGTGCCGCTTCCATAATAGTCTAAATAGGCTATAATCTGATTGTTTTTTACTATGGACGGAGTTGTGTGAACTTCCAAATTTTGGAGGACTTTAAAATCAGACACAGGCTATTTTCAGTTTACATTAAAAATAAGAGCTATCAAAGGCTAAGTAGTCATTTCTGAAAATTTCGCTTAAATTTTTCGCGTTCTTAATTTTCGTTTACTGATTATTTTACTTCGTGTGCTGCGATTTTATTACAGGTCTTCCTTCCAAGTAACAAATCGTGTAAATAAAAATAACTTTACTAATACAAATGTCTACATCCAAAACCGAACCATCTATCCCTTACGGAAAATACTTTGAATTCTTTCCACCAAAAGTATGGTCATTACAACACTTTAGTGCAATGATCAACGAATACTATGAAAATACAGATAAGAGGAATATTAATAACGCATTTTATAAAGCACTAAAGGATGTTGAAAATAATCAAACTTTTACAGAAGAAGCTAGTCAAATTGCTAAAGAGCTCATAAAGAAGAAAAGGGTAAGTACAATATGGTGAAAATAAGATTTGTGCCCCTTGCTTGCGTTCCGTTCCCAAAAGGTGTTGTACAGTGGTCACCTTAGGTGCACATTTTCTAGGTGTCTATTCACCGGCTCTTGTCACTTCACATTGCGTTCCGTCCCCAATGAGTTGCTACAAGTTCTGAGGGCACCTGGTAAGTGCAGTAGGTTGTCAACATTAGTTTCTTTGATAAAGGTCTATTGATTCTGGAGGTAGATTCAATTATGTACCTTCCTTTATATACAACAAAAAGCTAATCTGTTGGTATCTTCTGCATCTGACCATTATTATCCTAATTTTATCTGATTTTACTTATTATGAAAATATTTCTCACCTGATCTTGCTTTCTAAATAGGATATTAAAGAAATAAGTACAAAGCAAAACTTAACAACTATGGAAGCAGATACAAATAGTTCATCCACCTCAAAAAAGAGAAAAATCATGTAGCAGTCAGGTAAGTAATGTTCAAACTACAGAATTGGTTGATATGTTTAATAAGCAGGAGATAATATAAAATAGTTGAATACTATACTCCTTGCATATTATATTAACAGATTCCTTGGCAGCTAATATTACAATCACTATATGCATTTTTGTTTTCAGATCTTATTAGCTTAAAAGATGCATTATCTTACATCCCACCTAATATCACCTACTCTCCTTATGGAACTTCCTCCAAGAGTACTACAAAAGTAGGTGGTAAACTACCAAAAAAGGTTCTATTGTGGAACAATTTTATATCACTTGAATCAAATTCTTTCATTTACTAGGGTAAAGATTTTCCGTCTCATATAATTCTTCAAATACCATGTCTGGCATTTCATGTGCCCAATTTCCAGCTGCAGGAAGATATTCTCTCCATTTGAACCGTAAATCCGAGGAACTGGAGTTAAAAATGGGACGTAATTGGCACATCAAGCGTTGGATTTTCCTAATTGTCAGTGTAAATCACTAAATTACTACTCGTATTGAGTGTACATGAAAATCCTTTGCTTCACTTTGGACAATAATCTAATTTACCATTACCAGGAATATTTTTACATCAAATGCTCAAAAATTTGGCTTATGTTCATTAGGATATTTACATTTATGGCTTGATGAACAATTTCTTCATTTGTTTATCTTAAATTTTAATGAATTGTTGTTCCTTGGCTGGTTGCTTATTATCAAAATGATGGTACATTTTCCATATTAAAGATATTTTCCTACGATCGAACTTTTTTGGTGGTTTGCTATCTACCTCCACAGTATTTTTGAGGAAGTTCCATAAGGAGAGTGATTATTATTTAAATAAATACTAATAATAGCTGGAGAAAAAAGCCTAGGGGAGTCCTTAGAATTTTTTAATACTTTTTAAAGTTGATATTACTTAGAGAAAATCTGACATTACCAATTTTTTAGATTAGTTGAAATTAAATAACTTTTATTACAAACAAATTTGGGATAGCAAACCTGATTCCATTATTAGAAATTTTTTTTTTTTATTATAAAAAATACACTTTATTTGGTCAAAGTGAAATAATTACACCATCATTAAGGAACTTTGAAAATATGAATTGAATAATTCTTTTTAAATCTTGATCAGATCAAGTGAAAAATATGACTAATAATAAGTCAATGACTAAAACTCAAAGAAAGGAAGAAAGTATGGTATCCACTCGACAACTTTATCAAACAAATCATAGGTGCTTAATTGTGAATAAAATCATCAATTATTTTATTTCCACTGGTCCAGTTTATAAAATCTTACTGTTTAGCTCATTTTCGTCTTTTCTCCATTTTTTTGTTTTCTTTTTGTCTCTTCATTTCTTTTGCCCTTTTTATTCGTCCCTTGCTTCGTTTTTTCTGTTGTTTTTTATTTCCTCTTCGTTCCTTTCGTCTTTTTCATTCTTTTACACTATTTTTCGTTCCTTTCATTTTTATTCCATTCCCACTTCATCTTTTTTGTTCCTTTGCACTATCCTTTGTTATTTTCATTTTTTTTCATTCCTTTTCATTCCTTTTGTTTCTTTCACTCTCCTTTTGCTCCATTTCGTTCCTCCATCACTCCCCTTCGTTTCTTTTATTCTCTTTTACTCTCCCTATTTTTCCATACCCTCATTTTTTTTGATTAATTTTTTAGAAGTATTTTCGAAAAAACTTTAATATTATGAAATCACTACAAATATTTTTTATTATTTATAATCAACTAGGAAAAACATTTGAATAATTAAATATATTAGAATCTATTCATTTCATTTATTACTATTCTTTTGGTATTTATTTTATTTGATAAATTATTAATTTAACTAAACTATTTGAATTAAAATCTTTATTCAAAAATCTGGTGATTATTTAGACTATTTTAGAGAATTTCGGATATGGATTTGGTTGTAATAATCTATTATTAAATCAACAATTTCTTCAATTAATTAATTATAAAATATTGTAAAATATCAATTTTTTTGATTTTTATTTGACAATCAAACTATTTATCAGCGTTCAAAAAATTTTATATCAACGTCGGTCAATTTTCCTATATGTTATATTGATTTTTTTTAAAAAATAATAATTTTGTAAATATATTTAATATAATATTTTATTCTTTAATTAATAATAAAAAAAAAAGAAGAAAAAAAAATTAAAAAAAAAATTAATAATAAAAAAAAAATTAAGGCAAAATTTTATTAACCGGAATTGGATTAGATGTACAACATGACTTGCCGATCAAGCGAGTCTTAACTATAAATAACATGTATCAGCAATTCAAAATTAATTTATACAGGCTAATCTAAACGTTATGGCTACACATTGTATTTTTTTTTTAGTTATATAGATATAGATTTATAACAATAAATGTTCAGTTACAACTCCTGTTTCTAATTTCAAGTTATTGCCTCGCATATAACAGTTTAGAACGCCCCGTCTAACTTGTTTAAATGAAAAATAATATCCAATGATTACTCGAGAATAAAATCACGCTGATCAGCGTTTAGAATTTACATAAACTACATTTGAAGGGTCGTTATCGTGATACATGAATTTTGATTGTAATTTTACTTAATTCTGTCGGTATAGAATTAATATTTCCTTGTAATAAAAAAAATATGGAAGGAATTTTCAAGTTAGGTAAATTAATATTATTAATATTTTAAGAAATATTAGAATTTAATTAATTGCAAATCATGAAAACTTTCATCAATACTTAGAAAAATTAGAGGAACGGTAAATAAAGTTTACAATATCCTAGTTAGCATAAATAGAAAAGTTAATATAAATTATAGGATAGACATTTTTGGTATTTACAAATTGCATGTCCGTGGGAAAAATTTTTTTTTTTTCTCCTAGTACTTGAAAAAAAAAAAGTAAAAGAATAACCAATGAAATCACACTGATCAGCGTTTAGAATTTACGCCCAAATTTTTACAAATATTTGCGACACAACATTACATTAAATAAATACTGAAATAGTGTACACTTTTGAATGAGTACAAATTCACAGTTATCGTGTTACATACATTTTGATTATAATTTTACTTAATTCTGTCGGTATAATAAAAATTTTCTTACTTCTTTTTGTAATAAAAAATATGGAAGGAAGTTCAAGTCAGGTAAATTATTTTTTTAAACAATATTAAAATTTAATTAATTGCATATCATTAAAACTATCTTTATATAATAACAGAGTGGAAATTCTTCTACCAATACTGCTTCTGGTAGCTTAGAAAATAACGACCCTGTTTCATATAAAACGATTTTGTATGAAAATATGTCCAACAATCGTATCCTTCTCAAATTAGAAGAGGATGAATTCATTACTCCAGATGAAAAAGTAGAAGAACTTTTAAAAAATCTAACTAAACCAAGTTATTTGTATGCACTTAAATTACTTTTTGAAAATTTACAAAATGAATTTTCGTCTCAAGTTTTAGAAAATTCATTAGAAGCTTTAGTTGATACTTCTTTTAAACATTATTCAAAAGAAAGTGTAGCTAGATTGGAATTACATTTAAGAATTTTGGTTACTGTTTTAGAACGGATATGTTTTTCACCAATAGTACTTAGTAAAGAACTTCGAGATAAAGTTTATAATTCTTTAGCAAAATTTGCAGAAATTCATCGTAAAACAACTCAGGTTATCGAAATAGGACTTGATAATAATTTTAGAACAAATTTTAATCAATTCAATCAACAAAATAATGATCAAATTGCAATTAAAAAGCGTAATTATAATATTGATTTTTTATTAATCCATTTACGAGATACTCTTCATAGTTTACGTGATGATGAAACTTGGTTTCAAGAAATTATACGAAGAACTAAAGATTTTCTTAAAGCTGCATTAAATATTACGCCAGGAATTTTATCAATAGCAGGAGTTACTCTACCAAATGATAATTGTTCAATCTTATCAATGCTTACTCAAGTACGTCAGAGTTTAAGTTTTAAATATCCAGTAGCATCTTATTATGTAGATTGGAGAATTATGTTAATAATTCAACATAATCTTTTCATTTGGTCTGAAAGTGAAAAGATTATAAGTAAAAAATTTGGAGAATTAGTATTAATGGAATATATTTGGAGTTTTTTGGAAAGAGAATGGGTTAATGCTGAGGACAAATCTATTTTAGATTCTCAAACAAAATTTGATGAAGTATCAAATAAAGTCGCTAAAGCTTTGAAAAATACTGGAGGCTTTTTAAATGAACTTGCTGGAAATGAACCTATAGCACTACCACATATTTTGTGGTTTGGAATATTAGATCTTGCACAAAATCTTATCCAAAGATCATCTCGAATAGCAACATATGGTCTTTGTTATTATTTAGCAATTGAATCACTTAATAAAGCACCAAGCAGTTTTATTCAGTTTAAATCTATTGAATTATTATTACATTTATATAATATTGATAATAAAATGTTTTCAATGATTGAAATTGATTTTGATCAATACACACAAAAATTAAGTGAAAATAATTTGGAAGATTCTTTAGAAAAATTTCGAAATTTATTAACTTTTGTTAAAGAGAAATACCATGAAGATTTAAAAATTCTAAGTAATAATACTGGAAAAGAAAAAGAGGGAAAAGGAAAAAAATCAAATCAAAATTCATATTTAAAGAAAGAACAAATATCAAATTCTAACATTTTAGATGTTATAGCAGATGAAATTACTTGTCCAATTAATAGTGAACCAACGGATCAATTATGTATTTTAAAATGCCAACATATGTTAGCATTAAACAATTTAAAAAAGTTGAAGCAAAAAATATGTCCCAATTGTCGAGAAAAAATTGAAGATAATGATATTAGATATTTATCACAAAATTCAATTTATAAAAATTTATATACAAAATTTTTTGAATCTGGACATATTTTACCTTCAATTGAATTAGAAAATTCCGATCAATTATATGAAACTGACGATTCAGATAATTCAGAAGTTGAACTCATATTAACTAAAAAAAAGAAATTTATGAATCCAATTATTAAATTTAATTCAAAAATATCATCCTCAATACTTTCAAGAATTACAAAAAAACAACATCCAACATATCAAAATATTATAAAAGAAATAAATGAAAAAAATTATGAAAAAGCTGAATCTTTATGCAAAGAATTTATAAATTTTTTTCCTAAAAGTTATTCATTAAGATGTATTTTAGCGTATATTTATAGATGTCTTAACAATTACGAACAAGCTCACTTTTTTTTAAAGGAAGCTATTGATTTAAATCCAAAAAGATCAGTTGCTTATTTTATTTGTGGAGAAATATTTTTTAGACAAAATGATTATGGTGAAGCAATATATAATTTAAAAGAAACAAATTATTTAGAAAGGTCAATAATTTATAAAGCAAAAATAAATAACTCATATATATTACTCGGAAATAGTTACTTATTACGTGGTCATTATGCTGATTATGATGGTTATTATGATGATGATGATGATTATGATGATTATGATGATTATACAGAAGCTATAAAAAATTATAATATTGCATTAAAAAATGATCCAAATAATTATTTATGTCTTAAAAATTGCGCATACGCTTATGAAATAAAAGAAGATTATTTAAGTACATTAAATTTATTAGATAAATTATTAAATATCAATAAGGAGGATTCTTTGGTTTTATGTTATTATGGAGAAAGTTTATATAATATGACACAATATAGAAAAGCTATATCATACTTTACAAAAGCTTATACTATAGATCCAGAAAACATTCATAATTTGAATAGGAGAGCTATTACATACTATATTATTAAGGAATATGATAAAGTATTATCAGATCTTGATAAAATAATACAATTAGATCCATTAAATAGTTCAGCATATTATCTTAAAAGTTTAACGTATTATACAAAGAATGATAATAACAATGCTAAAGTATCATTTAAAAAGTATGCAGAATTATTGAATTCTGATAATGATTTAGCAAAGGTTCATTTATTTTATCTAGAATACTTGCTAAATAATAATAGTTCTAAAGATTTAAACGATATATTAACAAAAATCGATCAAATTCATAATTATAGTTCTTTTGAATATGAATTTCTACAGTTTATTAAATGCAAAATTTATATTGAATTAAAAGAGTATAGTAAAGCAAGACTAGCTTTAAATAATATATGGAACTTTGTATTTATTAGTTATATTATACAAGAGCATCCAGATTTTTGGTCATATTTATATGAAGTTTGTGAAATTAACAAAAATGATTTTACCGAATTTGGAATTGTCGATGAATTTAGTAAATATATGTATGAAGGTAAGAAAATATTCAAATTATTTATTATCTTCTATTTAAGTTAATGATAATTAATATCTTAAACTCTTTAGAACATGATGTATATTTTGTTTCAATTCTTACAAATTTGAATAGTGAACTTTGTCAATTTCAAGAAAGTGATATAAGCAGGTAAAGTCTACTCATAATAATACTTTAAGTCAAATACAAATTAATCATAATTTTAAAATTAAAGTTTATCAGGGCTGGTATTGTCTTCTAAAAATGGAAATCTTCGTTTGGTTTTGCCTATGCTAAAAAATTATAAGAATTATTTAATTTGTAAAATGAATGTCAAAAAAATATTATCTAAGGATTGCTTTATAAAATTTATAATCAATGACGTAAGTTAATTAGTTAAAATCTCAATTATTTTATTTAATTTAAATTAATACTAACTTAATTATAGAATTATCAAGATTGTATGTTAAAACATAAAGATGTATCAAAACTTGAGGGGTTAGGTTGGATAGAATATCAGATTTCAGAATATAGGCCACTTGATGTTCAACTTTCAATTGAAATAAATTCTATTGAAATGGTACGTTCCTATTTACTTATTCAGATTAATTTCCCCTTCAGAACAAAATATAATATTATTTTTTGATTCACATAGCAAATAGAATATATTCGATTTGGAAGTAATCCAAGAAAAGTAGCTTACATTCCCGACATGAGTTTTATAAGCTATTTGTTACCAGATTATCACAAATTTTTCTCAAATGTTCCAGAAACTTTCAAAGACAAGTATTTTTCAAGAAAAGAAATGGAAAATTTACTTGATTTAAAAGATATCCTTAACAGCTTATAATTATATACTTTTCTTAATATTATCATTTTTGCTATATTCAACATACTTCAGAAAATTTTTTAAATATTAAATAAAAAGAAAATCATTCGTTTCAAGAATTTATTATTGAATATTAAAATTGATACCTGTTGGAATTTACATCTACTCCTGGAAAAATGCACAAACAAATTTGTATGGTGTAGAATACTTCATAAAATGTTTAGTTACTCAACTTTATAGTAAGTGATAAAATATTATATAAAACATTTATTCAAATTTTTAATTATATTAGTTAAATTTGACAGCCAATGTTTTGTTATTAAAGACAAGCATCACTGAATAAAATGTATCGTATATTAATTTATTTGATACAATAAATCTTTACTAGAAATAAATAAATAAATAAATAAATCTGCTATCCTTTATTAAAAAAAACCAATCATTACTTTTAACCAAACTTTAGGATTTAAATTCCATAGAATGTTTCAATTTTCAATAATATCAATAATATCATTAATATTTGATCTATTTAAAGGCGAATTATCCCAACATTTTATCATTAAATCCGAAGTTCCTTTGATATCGAAAATTCATTACGTAATAATAATATATCATATTTTGGTATAACACTATAATTTGAATCTTCACTTTTTTCTTCAAAAGATTCTGAAAAATTCTTATAAAACGTTTCCGCTATGAAAATCGCGATGTACGTATAACTGCTACTTCTAATAATATAGGAATTGTCACCAGTTTCTAATCAAGCTGAAAATATTAGAATTTAGAAGGAAGTAAATGAGAGAGAGAAAGAAAATGAGAAAATTTTAACGATAAAAACGTTACGTATATCATTTTTTTAGCATCAAAGTCACCCAACGTACAAAATCAATGTAATTGAATTTTTTATATATGTGCCAAAATTATTGTACCACAAAAAATTGCTTAACGTGATTTTTTTTGAAAAACTAAAAATAAAGCATTAATAAAATTTGCAAACAATAAACTATTTAAATATTTTATTTATACAGTTATTTGGTTATGAGATACAACGATTTGCACTTAATGCCGGCCAAAATGGCCATAATTTATAATTCTGGCCAGTGTAAAATTTTACGAAGTGGTACAATAATTATGGAAGTCACTGCATGATTAAAATCTCTCTATTCATGTTTTTAGTTAATAGAACTTGGTGCGCGACAGAGGTGCCAATTTTATAGGAAACCCGGCCAAATATTTTAAGATCGTTAATTCAAAAACTACTACGACCGATAATTCAAAGAATATATTATTTAATATAATACTTTTATATTTATCAGAAAAATAGAGACATTTTGAAAAATCAAGGAATTAATATTAGTATACTTTGAAAAAATAGTTAAAAGAGCAAAAAAAAACCAATTTATTGGTAAAAAAATTACGTGAAAAAAAAATGATTAATATGGTTTTATTTATTCTGATAAATGTAATAGTTATTTATTTTCATATTCCACAGAACTTATTTATATCACGATTCCGATCAATATCTAAAGGTTTTATCATAATGGTAGAAAATTAAGGAACTTTATGATTCTAAAAAACATTGAATCTAAAAGGTATGGTTTATGTATATTAATGTTATATAATTTATATAATAAAGTTAATAACAAAAGAACCTTTGTATTTAATAATCATAATTTTATCTTTAAACACAATTATTCTACAGTTACACTAATCGATACTTTTGAGCTACTCAAAATTCCAACACACAAAATTTTATGATAATTAGTAATTATTACAAATCAGGAACCATGAGAAAATTAATGATGAGTGAAGACCATTTTGAGATAAAAAATGACGCAGATCTTATTATTGAAGGCAAATGCACCTGAATGTTTTATTGATTAATGCAACAATGTTGCTAAATGTTATAATATATATTTACTCCTTTTGGTAGCAAATTATATGATATTGGATTTATAATAACAAATTATCCGGTCAGTTGCTATATATAAATTTATGTTTGTCATCTTTAACAGCTTATTTACAATTATAAAACTATTCTTTATTGATACATGTTTGCTTTAGTCTTTATGAATAAGAAAGTTTAACAGTAATTTGGTTTAGAGAAGTTTTAACGGGAGTTTTTTTTCACTAAAATATTAACAACTTTATTCTTCAATTATTTAATAATAGTAAATAATTTCTAATAAAATTTTATTTCAAATAAAATTGTCCCAACTCATTGCATTTTTGTCCTTTATATTTATAATCATATGTACTAACTTGTTAAACTACCATAGAAAAAAAATGTAGTTTTTAAAGATATCAAATCTTACCGTATAAATTTATCGATCAGACGATCAGAACTGTAAATAAATCTGGTGTAACAGGGCAAAATTTTAGGAGAATCTCATTATCAGTTTACATATAAATATAAAAAAGTAAAAAATATTAAAAAATTACAAAATTATAGATAATGGGGAAGCAAACATTTTCAAAAAGTTTATGCCAGTAGTTTATAAATGAGCAAAGGTAAATTTTTAGCATAGTAGATATACAAAGTCAAATAAATTGTCATACAAATTCATCGCCACATCGAAATTTTCCAAATTTTATTATTTGAATAGTATACGTAATGAAAGAATGGTAAGATCTACCGATTATCGTTATAATTTTATAATTTCTTTACTTCGATCCCTTATAAAACAATCTTAAAATGTAAATCCCAGTCTTACTTTTTTTTTTACTTTCACTGAACGCAGACAGTGTAACAACATTAAATGAAAACATCATAGTGAATTTGGTAGATTAGAGCGAGGGAGGTATAAGATTTATCTTATACTTTTTATGTGTTTCTTTTTTGTTATTATATATAACTATCTTACTGTACGTAGCTCCTAATAAAGAAAAGTGTGTTTGTAAAAAAAATTTTTTGTTCACTTACCGATCTTTATTATGTAAGGAAAATTTTACATATTATTCTATAATCGGTGTTAAATATTGTTATAACTGTTAGATAAAAATCATTTTATAATATTTTAATAAGTATTAAAGTTAGAAAATAAATTTCTTTTATTTATAATATAAATATTGTTAAAATATGAAAAATCAAAATATAATAAAACTGCGATCACTACTGCTACTTCTTTCGCGGCTACTTATTTAAATCTAGAGGATATTCCGGAAATTTGTAAATCATAGCTAAAAAATTCCTATTATCTCTGAAAAAATTTTATAATAATAATTGTCATTTTAACTTAAAGTTTTAAATAACTATTTCCAGGAAAATGATTATAAGCTATAATGTTAAATAAGAATGAGAGATAAGATAAGTAAAAAAAAAGAAGTGCAATCAAAACAAAATAAAAATACAACTTACTTCATAAAATCAGTAATTTCTACTGAATCATTATTAATATTATCATCGTATTTTGGAAGATTTTTTGCAAAAGGATTAAGTAATCGAGAGGTATAAATAGCTTCTGTATGTATTTGATTATTTTTACTTGGTAAAGGATTTGCTTTTCTATATTCTTCTGATTCTTTAAATTGCTTTCTAATTTCAAGATGTTGTTCTTCTACCTCAAAACCATATCTAAATGGTTTTATTGATACGTAAAATAAATCAATCATTTCTTTTACTTCAACAGAAGTTGGTCTATTGTCTAGATTCATATCCCAACATGATTTCATCAAATCAATATAACATTTTGGTGCAATTTTCTCATTTATTTCAGGTCTATCCCCTTTATATATACTGATTGCTAGTATCTCATCATGAGAACAATCAGCAAAAGGCTGCTTTCCAGTTGCTACAAAATACATAATCATACCAAAGCTATATATATCAGCTGCTCGAGTATAAGGCTTTCCTCTTAATACTTCAGGAGCAACATAAGGCATAACTCCATAAATATTTGTCTCATCAGTGTCTCCAATTTTTTTACACAATCCCATATCAGAAATACATGCATTATAATTATAACAATTATAACTATTAAATAAAAAATCTTTGTCTTGTATTTTTGTAAGTAATATATTTCCTATATGAAGATCACAATGAACCATCCATTTCTGATGAATTTCGGTAAGCCCTCCAATAATACTATATAATATTTTTATTTGATTAACCCAATGAAGTTTTTCATAATTTTTATTTAAGTAATCCTTGAAATCTCCACCTTCTGCATATTCAAGTACTATGATATAATCTTTTGTATTTGGATTTTGTGATACTCCATACATTTTAAGAATATTGTCTAATTTTCGATTTTGATATGCTTTAACCTATAAGATAATATATTTTATTAATATACTTAATATATATGTGTAATTGCTACTAAAAAATATTTAAGTGCATACCTCATTTATAAAATCATCAAGGGAATTTTGTGTGTCATGCAAACATTTTAAAGCAACTATTGTATTTGGTTTTCTTCTCCAACCTTTATAGCCAAGAATATTTTCATCATATTTTATTAAACCATCTTACCATATTGCTGAATATACTGTAGAAAAACCACCTTTACCTATTTCTTCAACATTATTAAACTGGTCATATGGTATCCATTCAAACATTATATCAGTTTGACTTAATTTCATTTCTTGAATTAAATCACTGATTTTTTCATTTTCATGACTCATTTGACATGACATACAGCTTTTATTAATTATTTCAAATTCATTACACCACATTTTTTACAATAATACATGGGTTTAAGAACTAAAATAAAATCTTTTGTACTCGGATCTTCATAATTTTGTCCCATTCAACATTTAATCTATAAAAGTATAATTATTATATCAATAATTATTATTATAATAATAAATAAAATAAATAAATTAGATTTTAGATTTATAGAAAAATTTATACCTCACTTAATGTTTCAGTGATATCTCGTGAGTTATGCAAATATATTTACCTTTTCTTATTTCATTAATGTCAGTAAACCCAACATATGGTATCCATTCAAATAATTTACTATATTTATCAGATTTTAATTGTACTTCTTGAATAAAATTATCAATTTTTTCATTTCCACTAGTCCAGTTTGTAAAATTATCTTTTAAATAATTTATAATACATGGTTTGCACCATTTATAATAAGTATCATATTTATTACCGCATTTTTTACAATATTCATTAATATAATTTTGAGAATAAACCAAAATATAATCTTTTGTATCTGGATTTTGAGATATTCCGTAGTAAGTATCGGTTAAATATGATTTGATCTGTCAAAATATGAAAAAAATTGAATATATTATATTAATATTCAAAACAAAATTAATAAAAATTTTAATACCTTATTTATAAATTCGTCAGTAACTTCTTGTGAGTTATGTAGGTATCTTAAAGAAACTTTTTTGTATGTACTATCCCAATTCTTATTATGTTGAGCATCATAAC